AAATGGAGAGTATAGATATAGCCTCTAGTGGAGGCTAGCTTTGCTGTAGAAGCTGCAGGTCTTCTTTACTGAAACATAATAATGAAAGTAAGCATGCTCAAACTGTGATGTACTGAAAGAAATTAGAATATTCTGGGTGCTGCTTTATGATGACTGGCCTCATCTTCTGGACTACACCCACACTTCCACACACACACATTCACTTCAAGCTGCCTCTGCCCAAGCACCCTCTCCACTTCCACATCTAAACCTTCCAGTTCCCAGACAACACCTCCTACTGCTACATCAGTGAGGAAATCTACTAAATGTGCTCCACAGAGCTGAGCTTACCGTCTGAGCGGTAGTGTGTGGAGGGCTGATTTGATGGCTGCAAAATCCCAGTGCTGGAAATCGCAGATGTTGACTTCTTATTTGTAAACATTATGTGCTTATCCAAAATGTTAAATAAAAAAAAGAATTGTGTAAACTCTCAGTAGTTTAGTTGTTGTTTTATTCAGATTTAGGGTAGTGTAGTATGTTTCGTGCATTTTCTAAAGAGTGAAAAAATTGGACATGTGTCCAGTATTTCACATGAACTGGAAAGCTGGGCACTGTATATTCTTTCAAATTTGTAAAGAAATCAATGGGCCAAGTTGTTGATTATAAATACACAAAATTAGTCAATAGTTTCAAAGTTAATGTCTGGCTTATTTGCAAATTGTTAAAATTAATCAGCAATGGAAAAATACATTTTACTTAGTCCTTTTAAATGTCAATTAATTGTACATCAACCCTAGTTATGGCCCTACTTTCATACATTATCTTAATTGAGCAGTTTTAGCTGTTCATTCTTGTGGTATATTTTAAAAATAACCAATGTGGATTCCTTATTTGCTTGGTAAGTTCTTTCATCAGGCTTCATCAGCAATTTGAGGTTTCAGACTGAAATGCAGGTTTCATTCTGTTCTCAATCTCACTTTCATCCTCTGTAGTTTGCTCTAGAATTCAGGGATTTTAATTCACAGCATCTTGGCAGCTTTTAGCAAATGGAGGATAAATTATAACTTTTTATGTGCTCAGATCTATTGAATAGCAAAGAGAATTAACTAAATTTAGTCTAAAGGTTTGTTATAGTAACTTCTTTGTATCTATCCTAGTATCTAAAGTGAATAAAAAAACAGGAACAAGCCTACATAAGGTGCATTTTGACTTTGTATTTGTTATCGTTGTAAGAAGAAACATAACCAGAATGCATATCCCCTTGTTTGGTAGAGTTGAAGGAAGCCCATGAACTCGAAAGAAAAAGACTGGAAGAAGAATTTGAAAAATTAAGGCTATCACTGCAGGTAAGAGATCACTAATTGTTTGTGAACAGTGAAGTTTAGCTTGAAAAGTATTCATCCCCTGCCAATAATATCACATGTTGATGAATATCAAGTAATGTATATAATATTTCCAATTGAATACTTTTTTTTCAGAACTGTAACAATCAAACTACAGTAAGTACTCTTATACGGTATGTGAAGGAGGATGCATGTCATTGTAAATGGAGTTTGACAGGGCCTCTCAATGGCACTTTCTTCTTGTCAGACATCACTGTGGCTTTGACCTTGTACTTCAGGCCATTATCCTATAGAGATTTTCTTTAGGTTTTGGCAGTTTTCCCTCTAGGATTCACCTTTAGATTGCACCTTTCATTTTAACTCAAACCTGACAAACCTTCTAGTCCCTGCTGATGAGAAGCATACCCATAACCTGGTGCTGTCACCACCATGCTGTCATGATACCGGCTCCACGCAACCAGACCACAGCCCCTTTAAGAAGGCGTAGACCTTTCTCAGTCAGATAACCATCCACATTACCTGTTCACCACCATACCCCCAGCACTAGTTTACTTTAGGGCTGTCTGCAGTAACCTCAGTGCTCAGTATTGGGTCTATCCTGTTGAGCTCAACTTCTTGTTCTTCTGGAGAATCACTTTTTGTACCATGATTTCCTTGCTTCTGGACTTCGCATTCTCTACGACTATGATTTGTGGACTTCGTCTCTGGCACCTCAGTTCGGTTAAGTTTTCCTGTTTGTTCTGCCTAGCTATTCTCTCGCTTTCTTTTGAGCTCCTATTCAAAACACCGCATTGGACCTGTTTCGCTACTCCAATGTCACTATACAGATGTAACACAGGCTGCCAGTCTGTTAGGCAGTTTGAATGGTGCTGATGAGGTGATGTGCTGTATTGGGCTTTCACAAAATCAAATAGCACTTGCATTTGACCAAACAATCTTGTCTGACCATAAAATCTGCCATATGTGTACAATATACATTTATATCTAGAATTCTCTATACTCAAAAGGAAAATTATCCTTTTCCTTATCCTGTGTCTGTGCCTCTCAACAACTCTGTTCTTGATACATTTCCAAAGCTCCTCTGTCCTCATGGTTGATCTGTCATATTACTATATGAATTGTGGTTTGTAATTCAATAGCCTTCTGAAGGATTTTACAAAAACAGATGCATGTACTTAGGAGTCAGGTAAATACACTTTGATTATACACAGAGACAATTACACTACATTTGTGACCTTTCAAACTATTCTTGTGCACCTGGACTCATTTAGGATCGCCTGAGCAAAGACGTTTAATACCTGTACAATTAAGAATCTTCTAATTTTCTTTAAAAAAAACTAATTTATATATACAGTTATACTATCAGCATTTTTAGGTTCAGCAGTTTGAAGAGAATAGTGTAGGCTTTAGTTAAAAACCTATGTGAAAGTGTTGTAATTGTGTATCAGGGCTCAGTGACTGAGCGAGTTACAGCAGTGAGTGAGTCACTCCCCATTCTCTAGACCTGGTCTTGTGGTGCAGTAGAACTCTCTGCTGCCTTTAGATTGGCATTATGTGGCTCTGGGGCTGCTAATGACCATGATCAATTACCAGTAGCAAGGGTGCTATAGAGCTGAGCTTGTCACGGGTGTTGTCCCACAGTGGCATGGTGGAATCCACTGTCAAGGCAAGTGGCACTGTGCACATTCAGAACCCATGAGTGAGGAGGACTGTATCCTGGCAGGGGTAGGGGGAGCTTCACCCATCAGAATTGCAAGTTCCAATAGCAATGAAATGTAGAAATGTTGCATTCTACAGTAATGCTTTTTCAAGGTACTGTATGTAAGACGATGAAACACAAGGAGCTGGTCATGAAAAGAACTAATGTCTCACAAAATGTAGGTTTGAAAACTCCCAAGCTGGACAGCATTGGCATACGCTAATATGAGAATATTCCCATTAAACCTACTTGAGGATGATGCTGAGTGCTTAAAATTTCATTAACTGTGCTATGGTGCTCCTTTGAGAACACTTTTTAAGACACACTTACATATTCTCTTTTGCCTACCATTCTCTAAAACTACTTAAGTTTGAAGAGAGTGCTAACTGATACTGTAGTAATAGGACACAGTGGTCTTAATAAGGAAAATAAGAATAAAAAATTATATACCTCAGTAGATGCAGCACCAGTGACCTCTTGTGGTTCATTTTGTATTAAAATTAAATGTTTTGAAAAATATTCTTTTATATATAATTCAAGTAGGAATTGACATAAACATGGCCAAAGTACGGTAGAGTGTTGAGAAAGAGTTTCAGCATTTGAATGGTGAAAATTCCTATATAAATGCAGTTCTTGTTTTTTATTATTTATGGATCAGTAGAACCAAACTTAAAGTGCATCATTTTAACATATATAAAAAGTAACATTCAGAGTCTTTTACCACCAGATTATTTTCACATTTGCATGTAAAATTAACAAACCCAAGAAGTACCTCCAAAAACAATGATTTCGGGGTCTTTTTTCGATAGTGTGCTAAGAGGTTTTTTTGGAAAACCACTCCATTAACAACATTGTTTATAGACTATGCACTGACCTTAATTTCAACCCTACAATTTTGGGACTGGAGTTGTTACAGATGTTTTTTCAAACAGTTTAAAAAAGGAAAGCAGGTTGGTTCCTTCTCAAAGGCATATTACAAGCAGAAAATTCTAAGAATCTTTGAAATTCTGAAAGGTTTTTAGGAAGGCAGGCTACAGGAATTTTTAGAATCAAAGATGAAAAAAACGATTGGCTACATATGTGGAAATAGGAGGCAGAAGAATAAGGGCTATCTTTAAACAGATTTTTGGGTGTCTGAAACACACCACCCAGCCTTATTGTTGGAGTTGAAACCCTGGGACCTTTCAGGAAACAGCAGGACGAATCATTAAGCTGTGTGTCATTAAGAAGTATGATGCAACCCTCATTTGCTTGTGAGCTTACTAGTTTTCTAATATTCTCCCCAGGACCAGGTGGACACTCTGACATTCCAGAACCGCAGCCTGAGGGACAGAGCCAAAAGGTTTGAGGAGGCACTGCGGAAGAGCACCGATGAGCAGATTGAGGTACAGTACAGGTGCCACCACATCCTCACTCCCATTTACAGTGGCAAAAAGCCGGACTCACCAAAAACTGGGTTTCATTTCAGCATTTCTGACTATTCTAGTGCAGAGGTGAATGTTGTAGGTGTCCATCCATGTGATTGAAGCTAATACCATGACTTCCTTCAAGAAACAGCTCAATGAGATCCTTGAACCAAAAGGTAATGGCCAGATAGACTGAATGGCCTTCTCTCGGGGACAGTCTTTCTTATGTATACCCTACTGTGTTGAATTGCATACTGTAGCTTGCTAACTGGCTGATCCAATGAATCAGTATTTCAGAAACAATATTATTTATATACTGTATACTGTATGTTGTACATCTTTCTTTGAAAAAGAATCATTTGAAAATTAAAGATATGCAACATTTTCCTCAAAATATTTTTAATAAACTTTTTCTTTTAACACCTTCCAATCCATGAGCTGCTTTATGTAACTGAATATCAACAAATGTGATAATTTTATACTCCCTGGATGTAAAGAACAATTTATGGTAGATTGCTCTCAGCCTCTCGGATATATGGCTTCTGCATGCTTTTGACTTAATACCTTGCACTCTCTACCTCAGTGATATTGTCTTTAGGTGCCTGAGACACACCAAGGGGGAAAAGACATACTTACTCCCCAGCTGTAAACAACAGTTAGAATGCATATGTGAATTTCCCTTAAACATTGATACCAAGCACCTGCAGTCTTCAACTGATGTCAGTGAGAAGCTTTCTTTCAGTGTTACCTGTCCTTGTAAAACAGGGGTTCCCAATCCTATTCCAGAGGAATGCTTCACCTGCAGGTTTTTGCTTGAATCAAGTTCTCATTGAGGTTCTTGAAACCTAATTGAGCCTTATAATGAGAGTGACTTGATCTCTTGAATTGTTTTCAGCTGAAGCATAAACATTTTAGAGGTTGCCTTTGAATTGTTGCACTTTTTAAGTAACTTTACATTTCCAAAGTGAAAGTAGAAGGATGGTTCAGTTAAGGATGAAATGAAGTAAAGATCTTGGATCTCAGGCTGTCAAATGAATGTGTTGGATGGGTGAGTGGAATAGAATAATCAAAATAGCTTTACAAAGCTAATACAAAGATACCAGATCACTTTTTGCACATAACAAAATTGTGGAAGGGTTATGTGCTATGATGGATTTAATTAAAAATGTGCATTGTATTTCTTATTCAAACATAGGACCTTAATTATAGCTTCGGGATTAACATAACCTCAACACTGGGATTCTTATTTTGTGGCCCTGTTCTTCTGCATAGGATGCACTAGCCCCTTATCTGCACATTGAGGAAGACCTAAAAAGCCTGAAGCATATTCTGGAGATGAAAAATCAGCAGATCCATGAGCAAGAGAAGAAAATCGTGCAACTGGAAAAGCTGGTAAGAAAATCAGACCCTTTACAAAATGCTGTGAGCAGGCTGGAGAGCGACTGGTTGATCAGCCTTTCAAGGCCAACATTCTGCCCAGACTCTTGATCTTGACAGTAATCTACTTGTCAATATAGTTTGAAAAGGCTTAAACCGCTTGAAACACTGGTCAGTCAGTCCCATTGAAAAACCTAAATGGGAAAGAATGAATGAATGAGCCCTGTGATCCTGAAAACATATGCCAGTTAATAATTTAGCAAAATTACAGATTGTTGTGAAAGAACAAAAGTGAATAGTTATGAAAAATAAAGAAACTCTGAAAGAGTGTTGAAGAATATTCTTTTACTATCAGCATAAGATGTATAGTTCATGTTACGAGTTCGGTAACAGGGACCGAACGAGTGAGTGAACCCATTTGCAGGAGCGAACAAAGCCAAGTCTTAATCCGAAAGCAAACCGTAATCGTAGGAACGAGCCGAGAGTCCAGGGAAGCCAGATATCCGAAAGGGTACGTGTACCGAAGCCGAAGAGTAATCCGAAGCCGTAGTCCGTAGAGCAATCCGAGAATCCAGAGGTAGCCAGAAATCCAAAACAGAGCGAAAGCACCAATCCAAGCTGAGATCCGAAAAGCCGAAGTCCAAAGGGAAAAACCGAAAGCCGAAATCCAAGACAAACACAGAGTAGAAGAAGCGCAACCAGGAAGCTCGATAGGGAAAACCAATACTGAGCAACAAGTTAGGGAAGGACAGGTGTTTAAGTAGGATGAGACGGGGGTGTGGTGGTGAATGGGAAAACTGATAGGTGAACTGATAGATAGGGGCTACGCCTACTTCTGCCTCCTCCGTTGCCGGGAGCCAGGGTTCGTAACAGTTCATCAACTGTTTTATAAAACAAAGATGTTTTAGGAGATACTCTTGTAAACAGATCGAATAAAATCAGGTGCAGAACTAGTTAATAAAAAAGTAAAAAAGAATTAATCAGAAGGTGTTTAATTCAGTTCTTCTAAACTATGGTCAGTGATAAGGAACAATGAACTAGTGATGTATGTTTTCATTGTCTGGCACAAAAGGAGACTCATTAAAATTAAGCTGCAAACAAAACAAATCTTACTTTGGCTTTGAGGTGCTGTTATTTTTTTGTTTTTATGCCAGCAGAGCAAATAAAGTTGCAAATAATAACAAGAACAAACAAGCTTCTTTAAATTATTTATTTAAGGAAATGTTTTCTGTATGTGTTTTTTGCATAGGTTGAGAAGAATGTCGTTTTAGAGGAAAGAGTTCAAGTGCTTCAACAACAGAATGAAGACCTCAAAGCCAGGATAGATCAAAACATTGCTGTTTCCAGGTTTGCTGCCTTCTGTGAAACATTAACAAAATTCTATAAATGCAATATTTTATGTGCGTCTGTCCTTCATTAGCAGTAAGGTCTGTATTCCAGTTGTCCAGTGTTGAGCCTGAAGAAATGTTTATGCCTGTGGTTTGGGGAGCGAGAATGTTCCCTTTGGTCTTTCCACAGCAGTATTAGAAGCTCATGCTGATGAGTTGGAAGTTACTTTTTTTTTAAAAAAGAGCAAACATCAGTGTCCTTAAAAACAAATTGTATTATCATCTAAGTTGAATTTGCAACCTTCATTAGATGCCAACAGAATGTCAGAAGAGTTTTAGTTTTCCTAGAAACAGAAGTGACCTGAGTCCCCCATGCCTGATAGTCTGCTCCTGTGCTATGACTAGATTCTGGTGCCCTTCTGCTTTTACTCTAACCCAAACATCCCCTATTATATCTGAAATCCATTTTATGACAAACGGAAGCAATCTATTTCCAAAATAATGCCTTTTCACAGAATTCTTATGTTTCTGTACTATAGCCCATTAATTCACATCAGATATTAACTCTTAACTCAGCTACACAAGATGGCAGCGGTTTGTGTGGGGAAAGAGCAAGAACTGAGCTTAATGAGATTTTCTCTCTCACTCGTCAGTGTACGCTCCTGTTTTGCTCTTGCAGGCAACTTTCGGAGGAGAACGCCAACCTGCAGGAGTACGTGGAGAAGGAGAGCAATGAGAAGAAGCGACTGAGCCGCACCAATGAGGAGCTGCTGTGGCGGCTGCAGGCCGGGGAGGTCCTGAGCCCTAGGATGTCACCCTCCTCCTCACCCGTCCACCGCGCCTCTCCGGGTCCCGCCTCACCGTCCAGACTCAACTCCTTCCCCAGATGAAGGCACCTCTGCTTTCCCTCTGGAATTGGAGAATTGCTCCCCAGTCTGTCCTGAGGGAGTTACGCCAACGTAGCCGCCGCCCTTCCCAAATGGAACTGTATGTTACTTTCAAGATGCACAAAATAAACAAAGGGAGCCTTCTCTTACCCACCTCCATCAAAGGTTTCACTGTAGGAAGATGCCTCTCAGACCCTTCCACATTCAGCTCCCTCTGTCTCTCCCACACGAGTACAAAACCAATGCATTTCCGCATCAGTCAGTGAAACTTGTCCCTTTCTGACATTGTCTAACATACCACAGGTATACAACAGACAAAAACGGGCAGTTTGGGAATGTAGACGTTTCTTCTTTCCTGCCCCTTAGCCCTCCATGATGAAAAGAAATGAATGAACAAGCAAACAAAAACGAAACCGCTTCAATAGATCTCTAGGACCAGTTTAAACATCCAGGAATGGATTTCTAGCACACTGTGCCTCTTTTCTCAAGGTAGCCTCTTTCCTCATCTGCTGTTCCTTCAGCTTGGGTCAGACCAACACAACAACGTTTCCGAGAAGCGCCTTGCAGTCTGCCGCTTGTTGGCACTCATGTCCAAATTCATACACCAGCAGTTTACCTTGAATGACCCTTCAACTGCCTTCTGAAAAAAACAAACTGAAATGGAGTGCTAACTTTAGCAGTGGATCTTTTGTTTTGCTCATGCTGTGTGGTTCTGTGAGAAGGCTGCCCATAAGAGAGAAGATTTCATCATGTTGTATAGCTTGTTTTTTCTAATATTTGTATTTATTTGACTTTTTTCTATAAAGCATGGAATGTAAGTCTTCCAGATGTAACAGCGGATTCTCGTAATGTTCTTGTACAGATTGGTTAAATTAACCTTCCGCCACCCTCTTCTCAACATTTGGTGGAGTCTGGGTCTTTCTTCCTCCATTTTAGTCCTGCTTATTTTTTACTCAGTGAAAGGTGAATCTGAAGTATGGTCAGTGTAGAATTAAGTATTTACTGTACAAGTCCAGGTCAACCTTTTAATACCTCTCATGCACAAGTAGCATCTAGGGAAAATGTCTGTCTGGAATGATTTAGAAAAATTGTAGATATTAGAAATATTTCTATCTGTAATTGTGATACATTCAGGGATATTTGCCGTGCCAACTAACCCCCACTATATAAGACATTGATTATATGTCCTGAATGTGTCTTGCATAGGTGGGAAAGTTAGGGCTGAAGAACAAATCAAACCCACCAAGAACTGTTCTTGCAGGTGTTTTCGTAATCTTTGGACTGGAACTGACACTGACAAATTGATGTTATTTTATTCCAAGGAATAATTTTCAACCAAGTTGTATCGTGTATGAATTTAAATATATCCAACAATTTCCATACCAACCATTTGCCCATCTTTTTGCCTGCTTATTTGGGCCACTTAATACTGTGTTAAATTAAGACATGCTTAACAATCTTAGCTGGAATTAAAGCAAAATATTAAATTCGTGCATCACGCTTTTCATTTGTTATTTTCATATTTGCGTCATTTCTTTACTGTTCTACTCTGTCTCTGTGCTAGAGCTCGAGTGATGCTTAGACATACTTTTAAACCAGTTTAGCTGGTCTTGAACATGCTGTTCAAGACATGACACAGGATATGAAAATAAACTGGGTAAACCTGTGCAAGCAATGTTATTTCAAATAGTAAATTACCACTAGCACATGAAGTTGTTATAAAGAGCAAATCTTTCCTCACATAGTAACACAAATAGGCATCAGACAACCTGCTTTAGAGAGATCCTCTCAAGCAACTTGCTATGTCTTTCTCCATATTCTCAGCCCCTGGATCTCCAGTTCCTAGATCTCGGTCTGAAACCCACTCTAACAGAAATGCAAAATGTGAATGACCCACTGGACCCACTAACCCCTGACAGTAGACCAATTGAAGGACAGCTAATGCTTGAAGGTAATCCATTACCTTTAATGGATATCCTCCTCCTTGCCCCTAAACTTTTCTCAGTTTACTGTTGATCTTTATGAAGCTAAGCCATACTCTAAATTAAACAGAGAAATGTCTGCAATCATTAATGATTAATGTTCTATAGTTGCATTACACATTTATGTAAAAAATATATCTTTATTTTTAGATGGACGTTTGTTATATTTAATCACTTTCAGAATATTTGGTTTTAAGAACTAGATTCTGGTGTATTATTAATGTATCTTTCAGAGGAAGTTTTTAATTTCTTTAGTTTATGGTCACTTGGTAGTTCTTACTGGAAACTCTATTTGAAAGGGTTCCCCCTAGTTAGATGTTTGAGAATATGTAAGTGCTGTATTCATTGCCGTCTGTAAGTCTCTGATGCCAAAATGTCAAAACCAATCACTGTGTGGCTTAATTATGTAGAGTGAGTGACTCTACGTCATGTAAAAATTCTGCATGAAAAACATAATAGACACTCTCATATGACCATAATTCTAATAATGCAGCTGTCGTTAAACAAATGGTTTAACTTGTAATGTTTATTTTTATTTGTATTGTATTATAAATAATATTGTGTCTTTCACTCATGTTTTACACAGCTTGCATATTATTACAGTTTCAAATATAAATACAAAAAAACAACAGTTCTAATTAGTTTGGCCAGTCTTCTGAAATTGACCTTTCGTGTACAGTATCAGATGTGAATCACTCTTGTGGGTGAAATGATGCCTTCAAAAGTCTGTAGGCCCTGATTAAGGAGGAAGTCATATATGGGGAAAAGGAAATTAATTCAGCAACTCTCACCCTTCTTTATACCTTCTGCATGCCCCTCCCTTTATTAGCATGGCATTCCTGGCATTAGCCAGTTTTAATTGATTTTGACAAATCATTTTTTTATTAGGTAAAACCTAAGATACTCTATGAAATGCTGGAAAGGCGAGGTTGGTAGCCTCTCAAAAGGTTTGAAATTGTTCTCTGTGCCAGACTTTCCGTCATGGTTATAACCCCATTATTATTATGTAGACACCAAATGGTACCAAAAACGTCTTGGCATGCAGTGCAATCCCTCTTTTGCCTGTATACGTCAATATGTCAGTAAACGAATCTGCACATACTGTAGATCATCAAATACACTTAACATGTTGGGAAGACTTGCATAGTTCCCCATCCAAATTCTCAAGGTTAAAAAGTATCATTGGTTGTTCTCTGAGCCTTGGACCTAGCTGTTATCACTCCATTTAAGTTCCAAACTCAAAGGGCTTCTTACTCAGACCAACAGATGTACTGTAAATCAATACTAAAAACTGGGGTAACAGTTCAATGTCACGTCTCAGTGTAATGCACTTAGCCATTTGTGGGTGCGTGATACAATGTTGGGAAACAGTGTTTTTTTTTGTGTTCCTATTCAAGGTAATAACTGTACAATGAAGACACTGTCCTAGTCTGGAGCTTCAGCAATGAAGGTCTACGTAGTGCAGGACCAACTAGTACCATTTTAACGTTAACATGTTAACACTTTAGGAAGTGTTAACTAAAGAGGGTGGATGGGATAGGAACTGGGTTGAGAACTGAACAACCTAAAACATGTGCTTTGTAGATGATTTATAAACACCTTTCTTACGAGCTTTGCCATAGTACAGCCCTGTTCTTGCATCTTTCCAGATCATTTCAGTGCTCTAGTCTGATAAGATTTGGTTTTTGCATGGTTTTAACGAAAGCGGAGGTGATGACTCAGATAATTACATGACTCCTTTGAGAAAGAAACTCTCAAGTTCTCTTAGATGAGATTACTACAGGAGTGCCGTTGAGTCAGAGACCATTGATCTCTCTAAAGAAATGAAATTTGCTCAGATGTTCTCAAGAAATCCAACCGGTAGTGCATCTGGGAAAAGAAAGAAGAATTTATAAGCTAAACTCAAACATCAAGGAGTAGTGCTATCCTCCCTAACACCATCTTTATACTATGAAAATCTGCATTAGCTGTACAAAGATCCCACATCACTTTGTAACTCAAAAGGTGTTGGAGTAAAAGTGAATTAATTCATTCTTAGTGCCATTTAGAAAACTTTAATTGCCGAATTCGGAAAGACTCCACCAGTAAAGACAGGGTGAATTCAGTGATGTAGACATACTGTGACCAGGTTCCCCTTACTGGCAGTGCACAACTGCGTGCCACTGAGTGTAGAGTTAGTTTTAGTCAGTTTGGGAGCTCTCAGCTGCTGGCAACACAGCAACTCCATTGACTTCCCAGGTATTTGCAGGCTTGCGGTGTTGTTGGTAAGGGATGTGTCTCAACTCGAATTGGTGCTGAACCTCCCTCTTGAGGCTGCATACCCTGTGACCTGTTAAACAAATGAGTGGCAGATCAGAGGTCTGCCTTCATTCCTCACTCGCCCTCATGTGGTGGCAGGGTGTGTAGCTGAGAGGGGAGACATGAGAACCTGGCCATTGCAACGTGGATGGGAATATGAATATGAATATGGTAATTGGCTGAAAAAATATTGCTCAAACTGCAACAATTTTCACAAAAATGGATAAAACAACCCAAGCCAGAAAATGTCATTCAAATCTGTCATGATGCTAATTAAAGAGTTCCTAAAGAAGTTTCCTAAGACGTTAACTGGAAATGTTATGTACCTGGAAAAACAATGTTTGGTTTTCCTTATAAAATTTAGTGATTAATACCATGTGAAGTACAGTTTTGGGACTACAGCCCTTAATGTTAACTAGCTGTCTGTTCCTAGAAGATGCTGGCTTTAGCCTATGTTGTACTTGGCAGTAGATATTTGTTTCCTTCTAGAGTTCATGTAATAAGGTTCCTTCAACACTGTTACAATGATGTAACCCTCGGGAGTTTGGAAACCTACTGGATCACATCACAGGTCTTTCATGTGATGAGATTTAGTCATCTGCCTGTGCACTATGTGGCATTGGCGGTCTGTGACACAGCACATCAAATCCCCAGCCAGGAATGAACTATACTGAGACGCTACATTTTGTTTCCCCCTCCTGCATCTGTTTGTTCCTACAGCTGCAGTTATGTGATTTGTTATTCTTTAATTATTACTAAAGTAGTTTACTAACATGCACTGCTTCACATAATCTCACAACCTCCTAAAATCAACTTCATATTCCCAGAGCATTATAAACCTCAAGGGAGTTAGTATCTTTTTTTATAACTGCATAAACATACTCCACAGAAATGTGAAATTCAATGGAGTATGGTTGCTAATACAAAATGCACAAAACTACCCAGTCTTAGAATATTAGCCAGACTATGGGGAGTGGGAAGCAATCCCAACAAGTGCTTTCAAAGTGGACAATGAAAGGAAAATCATACTACCTAAAGCAGATAACATTGAAACCACAGCTAGGTTACGTTTCTCTTGTGTAAAAACTGTGACAGCATGACCAGATGTCTTTTCTTAAAAACCTGTTTAAAAACCTGCTCTTTTCTATGTAAGCCTGCTCTTTCTGCTTTTGCTCCCTGTTTGTCTTTGATTTATGGCAAAAAAACAAAATCTTGTTCCAAAAAAATGTCAAGCCCACAGATGGTAAATATCATTTAAGATCTACCCTCATGCCAAATTTAAGAAAACTATGTTGTCAAAGTATAAATTTGATTAAAATGTCATACATGTATTTTTAGCAAGCTTTTTGCTGTTCAGAATTTTAAATGTTCTCTTCATACAGTTTTTTGCCCAATTGCTTTTTATGGAAAATAATAATAATAATATTAATATAAACACAATAAACAAATCAGGTTTTATAATTCTGCACTGACTGGTTTTGTGTCCCATGGACATGCCACATATCCACCAACCAATTTTGTGCTCTTCTGTAGTATTGTGGACCTGGGTCTGCTGTAATTAATGCATTTGATAGATTTTAGTAACTAAGTTTAAAACTATACTTTGGTGTCACAAAGATAAGTGTCTTGTATTTCCTCCCTAAGCCATGCTTTAGCACACAAGAAAGCATGCATTTTATTTTCTCCTTTTTTTGAAAATGATGTTAAAAACTGTAATCATAGCTTAGAAAATTTAAATCGTGTGGAATGATGAAACACTATGTATATGTTGACACGTTTTAATGCACTTTGGGTTAAAATATTAAAATAAGTACAAAAAGTTGCATTCATTTGCCTTGTTTTTAATGAGTTCTGGAAAATCTGTAGCTGGGAAATCTTTAGGGTAGCATACAGTATGTATTGAAGCTTGGGTATGTTTAAAAAGGGGAAAAAAGTACTGTGGTCTTTGAAGATTTCAGCTTTTACTGTATATACACTGTCATATCCTAAACAACAGTATGAGCTTTCTTATACCTGTATAGGGTGCTTATAAAGTTAGATGTACAAAACAATTATTGTTAATGCACTCTGGTGTTTTTTGTTATTGACCATTTATTCCCCATCTTTCCATTTGCATTAAAATGACATAGAGGGCAGGTAATTAGTATTGAGACTTTATTGACAACACTTTATTTATTTCCAGAGCACTGTAGGCACAATAAACATGTCAAATTAGCTTTGCTG